GCCGGTCTGAGACAGGTCTGTCTCCTGACCCAGACGCAGCCGAGGGGGCTAGTAGTGAGGCGGAGACCCTACTTGATGATGAGGAGGTTGATCGCACTTGGCAGCCTCGTCGTCATCAGGCAATTTCTTCCGCATCATCAGGAGAAGAGGGTGGCAGCTTGGCAGCGAGCGAAACAGTCGGTGGGTTGCCCAGGAGACAGCAGCAGGGTCGCAGCAGTGTCAGTGGAGCAGTGTCAGTGTCAGTGGAGCCAAACGGCCACGGAGTAGTAGAGCACCAGCTCCACTGCAGCCTACCACCACGGCCAGTAGTGGTGCCGGTGTGCACGGAGGAAGCAGCAGTCAGCCAGTGAGGAGTATCGGGGGCAAAGTTTCCTACTCGGCGGTGTGGCAATTTTTTCGTCAAGCCGCCCGAGGAAGTAAACGTAGCCGTATGTCGACTATGTGGCCAGAAAGTCAAGCGTGGCCAGGGGGCCCATGTTGGGACTACAGCGTTGCGGCAGCATATGCAGCGTCGCCATTTGGTGGCTGGGAAAACCGTGATAAAGATACGGCGGTTCTGCCCGCCCCAGCCCCCGCTCCATCACCCGCTCCGTTACTTGCTCCGTCACCCGACGTCAATCGCCCTCCATCAGCCAGTCAAGGCTCCAACACCTCTGCTGAGGGGAGTTGTCGCTCGTTGGCATCTTCCGCTCGTTCAGATGCTCCTTCTCCTGCTACTCCTCTTCACGGATTCCGTCAGCAGTCTTTCTTGGAATCCGTTTCCAAGAGACAACAGTTTGCGAGCACGCACCCGACGGTGCAAAAGCTGAACGTCCTCCTGTCCAAGTTGCTGGTGCTGCAGTCCCTCCCTTTCCAAGTGGTGGACTCAGCACCTTTCAGAGAAATGATGGCTTGTGCCGCGCCGCGGTGGAGAGTGCCAAGCCGTCATTTCTTCGCCAAAAAGGCAGTGCCAGCCCTGCATTCACATGTAGAAGACATGGTGGGCCAGTCTTTGAGCATGTCGGGTCTCTGCCAAAGTGCACGGCAGCGCCGACGTGTGGAGCTGTAACTACGGTCAGGGACAGTACATGTCATTTACGGCCCACTGGGTGAACGTGGTGCCGTCACAGCCGCACCAGCAACTTGGACAGGTCACGCCGCTTTTGCCTCCACGTTTGCACGTCCTTGGTCCGGCAAAGATGTCCGCCTCTACCACCTCTTCTTCCGCCGTGTCCTCAGCCGCCACCCCCGTGCCAAGTCCCATTACCCGACCGGCATATCACATGTGCAGGGCGCAACGGTGTCACGCTGTTCTGCACCTGGTATGCCTTGGCGAACGTAGTCACACAGGGGAGGAACTTCTGAGTGTAATGAACAGAGAAATCGACAGATGGCTGTCTCCGCGCAAACTGAAAATCGGAACCATGTTGACCGACAACGGAAAGAACATGGTGTCTGCTCTGCGTCAAGGAAGGTTGTGCCATGCGCCATGCATGGCTCACGTGTTCAATCTGGTTGTTGTCAAGCGGTTCCTAAAATCCACCATCCCACTGCAAGACATCCTTAAAATGTCACGTAAACTTTGCATGCATTTCAGCCATTCCTACACCGCAAAGCACACCCTCCTTGAGCTGCAGCGGCAGAACGGAATTCCACATCATCGCCTGATCTGCGACGTTGCAACAAGGTGGAATTCAACCCTACACATGTTAGACCGCCTTTACGAGCAGCGAAAAAGGCCATCACCGATTTCCTGATGTTACAAGCGGATAAAGGTACTCCCCTGTGTAACTTCGATGTCAGCCATTGGCAGCTCATGCGTGACACCTGCCGCTTGCTCAGGCCCTTTGAGGAGGCCACGCTATTCGTGAGTCGGCAGGACTATGGGATGAACGACGTCATTCCTCTGTTGCACGTCCTTGAACAAAATGCTGTTAACAATGGCTGGTCAGGGTGCGGTAGACGTGGCGCACAGATCTCAACGCCACATGACCCCTGTGGGGGCAGGACAGGAAGAAGAGGAGGAGGTAGAGGAGGAGGACATTTGTGCTCAGGAATTATTGAGTGAAATGGGTGGTTTTTCCACTCAGCGGACAGGAGTGGAGGAGCAGGAGCATCTGGTAGAGGAGGAGGAGGAGGAGGAGAGAGGACCCAGACGCACCGTGGCAGTATGCTGTGGAGATGGAGGCAGGGAGTCCCTCGCATTCCTTGGCACAAATGGCCCATAGCATGCTCGGTTGCTTGCGTAGCGACAGCCGAATAATAACCATCAGACAGAGGGATGACTTTTGGCTGTCCACCTTGTTGGACCCTCGCTACCGTTCAAAAATGGTGGCCTTTTTCACACCTGCTGAGAGGGAGGCCAAAATAACGTACTATAAAAACCACCTATGTAGTCAGTTGGTCTCTGCCTTTGTGCGCCAACGTCCATCCTCAGACACTGTGGGCCCTGTGCGCTCGCGTTCGCGTTCCGCTGCCATGGCAGCAGGGGAGGGGGGGGGGGTAGGAGCAGGCAGCTCCACCAGCAGCGGCTGCCTCAGTCTGCAGTCGATGATGAGTAGCTTTCTTCACCAGCGCAGTGAGGAAACTACTAACCAGCCGCAGCAGCAGCAGCAGCAGCATCAGGTGGACCTGGAGCAGGACCTCAAACAACAGGCTTGGGCCTACTTGGACAGCACCCTGCCAACCGAGGTAGACAATCCCCTTGACTACTGGGCAACGAAACTTGACCTTTGGCCCCAACTAGCTGAATTTGCCCTTGAAAGGCTGTCATGCCCGGCCAGTAGCGTGGCATCGGAGCGCGTGTTTTTTAGTGCGGCAGGAGGTATTGTAACTCCGCGGAGGACACGACTGTCCACCCAAAGTGTGGAGAGACTCACGTTTGTGAAAATGAATCAGGCGTGGATTAGTCTGGATTTCAAACCACCAGTTCCTGACACAACTGACTAAATCCGCCATGAATCATGCCTCAAACATGTGCCACTTTCAGGTCTCCTCACACACACTGCTGGTGTGTTCCATTTTTTTGTCATAGGGTGCTGGCAGATTACGGGCCTCCCATAGCTGCTGCCAGGCCCCTAATCTGCCATAGGCCCCTATATACCGCCTCCTCATGCTGCTGCCAGTCCAGAGTCTCTCATGGGTCCCTGTACGGCCTCCCATTGCTGCTGTCTCCATCGCCACACTCTGCCATGTGCCACTTTCAGGTCTCCTCACACACTGCTGGTGTGTTGCAATTTTTTGACATAGGGTGCTGGCAGATTACGGGCCTCCCATAGCTGCTGCCAGGCCCCTAATCTGCCATGGGCCCCTATATACCGCCTCCTCATGCTGCTGCCAGGTCCAGAGTCTCTCATGGGTCCCTGTACGGCCTCCCATTGCTGCTGTCTCCATCGCCACACTCTGCCATGTGCCACTTTCAGGTCTCCTCACACACTGCTGGTGTGTTGAATTTTTTGACATAGGGTGCTGGCAGATTACGGGCCTCCCATAGCTGCTGCCAGGCCCCTAATCTGCCATGGGCCCCTATATACCCGCCTCCTCATGCTGCTGCCAGGTCCAGAGTCTCTCATGGGTCCCTGTACGGCCTCCCATTGCTGCTGTCTCCATCGCCACACTCTGCCATGTGCCACTTTCAGGTCTCCTCACACACTGCTGGTGTGTTTTTTGAATTTTTTGACATAGGGTGCTGGCAGATTACGGGCCTCCCATAGCTGCTGCCAGGCCCCTAATCTGCCATGGGCCCCTATATACCGCCTCCTCATGCTGCTGCCAGGTCCAGAGTCTCATGGGTCCCTGTACCTCCCATTGCTGCTGTCTCCATCGCCACACTCTGCCATGTGCCACTTTCAGGTCTCCTCACACTGCTGGTGTGTGTGAAATTTTTTGACATAGGGTGCTGGCAGATTACGGGCCTCCCATAGCTGCTGCCAGGCCCCTAATCTGCCATGGGCCCCTATATACCGCCTCCTCATGCTGCTGCCAGGTCCAGGTCTCTCATGGGTCCCTGTACGGCCTCCCATTGCTGCTGTCTCCATCGCCACACTCTGCCATGTGCCACTTTCAGGTCTCCTCACACACTGCTGGTGTGTTCAATTTTTTGACATAGGGTGCTGGCAGATTACGGGCCTCCCATAGCTGCTGCCAGGCCCCTAATCTGCCATGGGCCCCTATATACCGCCTCCTCATGCTGCTGCCAGGTCCAGAGTCTCTCATGGGTCCCTGTACGGCCTCCCATTGCTGCTGTCTCCATCGCCACACTCTGCCATGTGCCACTTTCAGGTCTCCTCACACACTGCTGGTGTGTTGAATTTTTTGACATAGGGTGCTGGCAGATTACGGGCCTCCCATAGCTGCTGCCAGGCCCCTAATCTGCCATGGGCCCCTATATACCGCCTCCTCATGCTGCTGCCAGGTCCAGAGTCTCTCATGGGTCCCTGTACGGCCTCCCATTGCTGCTGTCTCCATCGCCACACTCTGCCATGTGCCACTTTCAGGTCTCCTCACACTGCTGGTGTGTTGAATTTTTTGACATAGGGTGCTGGCAGATTACGGGCCTCCCATAGCTGCTGCCAGGCCCCTAATCTGCCATGGGCCCCTATATACCGCCTCCTCATGCTGCTGCCAGGTCCAGAGTCTCTCATGGGTCCCTGTACGGCCTCCCATTGCTGCTGTCTCCATCGCCACACTCTGCCATGTGCCACTTTCAGGTCTCCTCACACACTGCTGGTGTGTTGAATTTTTTGACATAGGGTGCTGGCAGATTACGGGCCTCCCATAGCTGCTGCCAGGCCCCTAATCTGCCATAGGCCCCTATATACCGCCTCCTCATGCTGCTGCCAGGTCCAGAGTCTCTCATGGGTCCCTGTACGGCCTCCCATTGCTGCTGTCTCCATCGCCACACTCTGCCATGTGCCACTTTCAGGTCTCCTCACACACTGGTGTGTTGTAGAATTTTTTGACATAGGGTGCTGGCAGATTACGGGCCTCCCATATAGCTGCTGCCAGGCCCCTAATCTGCCATGGGCCCCTATATACCGCCTCCTCATGCTGCTGCCAGGTCCAGAGTCTCTCATGGGTCCCTGTACGGCCTCCCATTGCTGCTGTCTCCATCGCCACACTCTGCCATGTGCCACTTTCAGGTCTCCTCACACTGCTGGTGTGTTGAATTTTTTGACATAGGGTGCTGGCAGATTACGGGCCTCCCATAGCTGCTGCCAGGCCCCTAATCTGCCATGGGCCCCTATATACCGCCTCCTCATGCTGCTGCCAGGTCCAGAGTCTCTCATGGGTCCCTGTACGGCCTCCCATTGCTGCTGTCTCCATCGCCACACTCTGCCATGTGCCACTTTCAGGTCTCCTCACACACTGCTGGTGTGTTGAATTTTTTGACATAGGGTGCTGGCAGATTACGGGCCTCCCATAGCTGCTGCCAGGCCCCTAATCTGCCATGGGCCCCTATATACCGCCTCCTCATGCTGCTGCCAGGTCCAGAGTCTCTCATGGGTCCCTGTACGGCCTCATCTGCTGCCATGTGCCACTTTCAGGTCTCCTCCTCACACACTGCTGGTGTGTAGAAATTTTTTGACATAGGGTGCTGGCAGATTACGGGCCTCCCATAGCTGCTGCCAGGCCCCTAATCTGCCATGGGCCCCTATATACCGCCTCCTCATGCTGCTGCCAGGTCCAGAGTCTCTCATGGGTCCCTGTACGGCCTCCCATTGCTGCTGTCTCCATCGCCACACTCTGCCATGTGCCACTTTCAGGTCTCCTCACACACTGCTGGTGTGTTCAATTTTTTTGACATAGGGTGCTGGCAGATTACGGGCCTCCCATAGCTGCTGCCAGGCCCCTAATCTGCCATGGGCCCCTATATACCGCCTCCTCATGCTGCTGCCAGGTCCAGAGTCTCTCATGGGTCCCTGTACGGCCTCCCATTGCTGCTGTCTCCATCGCCACACTCTGCCATGTGCCACTTTCAGGTCTCCTCACACTGCTGGTGTGTGTAGATTTTTTGACATAGGGTGCTGGCAGATTACGGGCCTCCTATAGCTGCTGCCAGGCCCCTAATCTGCCATAGGCCCCTATATACCGCCTCCTCATGCTGCTGCCAGGTCCAGAGTCTCTCATGGGTCCCTGTACGGCCTCCCATTGCTGCTGTCTCCATCGCCACACTCTGCCATGTGCCACTTTCAGGTCTCCTCACACACTGCTGGTGTGTTGTGAATTTTTTGACATAGGGTGCTGGCAGATTACGGGCCTCCCATAGCTGCTGCCAGGCCCCTAATCTGCCATGGGCCCCTATATACCGCCTCCTCATGCTGCTGCCAGGTCCAGAGTCTCTCATGGGTCCCTGTACGGCCTCCCATTGCTGCTGTCTCCATCGCGCCACACTCTGCCATGTGCCACTTTCAGGTCTCCTCACACTGCTGGTGTGTTGAATTTTTTGACATAGGGTGCTGGCAGATTACGGGCCTCCCATAGCTGCTGCCAGGCCCCTAATCTGCCATGGGCCCCTATATACCGCCTCCTCATGCTGCTGCCAGGTCCAGAGTCTCTCATGGGTCCCTGTACGGCCTCCCATTGCTGCTGTCTCCATCGCCACACTCTGCCATGTGCCACTTTCAGGTCTCCTCACACACTGCTGGTGTGTGTGAATTTTTTTGACATAGGGTGCTGGCAGATTACGGGCCTCCTATAGCTGCTGCCAGGCCCCTAATCTGCCATGGGCCCCTATATACCGCCCTCATGCTGCTGCCAGGTCCAGAGTCTCTCATGGGTCCCTGTACGGCCTCCCATTGCTGCTGTCTCCATCGCCACACTCTGCCATGTGCCACTTTCAGGTCTCCTCACACTGCTGGTGTGTGTGAATTTTTTGACATAGGGTGCTGGCAGATTACGGGCCTCCCATAGCTGCTGCCAGGCCCCTAATCTGCCATAGGCCCCTATATACCGCCTCCTCATGCTGCTGCCAGGTCCAGAGTCTCTCATGGGTCCCTGTACGGCCTCCCATTGCTGCTGTCTCCATCGCCACACTCTGCCATGTGCCACTTCAGGTCTCCTCACACACTGCTGGTGTGTTGAATTTTTTGACATAGGGTGCTGGCAGATTACGGGCCTCCCATAGCTGCTGCCAGGCCCCTAATCTGCCATGGGCCCCTATATACCGCCTCCTCATGCTGCTGCCAGGTCCAGAGTCTCTCATGGGTCCCTGTACGGCCTCCCATTGCTGCTGTCTCCATCGCCACACTCTGCCATGTGCCACTTTCAGGTCTCCTCACACACTGCTGGTGTGTTAGAATTTTTTGACATAGGGTGCTGGCAGATTACGGGCCTCCCATATAGCTGCTGCCAGGCCCCTAATCTGCCATGGGCCCCTATATACCGCCTCCTCATGCTGCTGCCAGGTCCAGAGTCTCTCATGGGTCCCTGTACGGCCTCCCATTGCTGCTGTCTCCATCGCCACACTCTGCCATGTGCCCACTTTCAGGTCTCCTCACACACTGCTGGTGTGTTGAAATTTTTTGACATAGGGTGCTGGCAGATTACGGGCCTCCCATAGCTGCTGCCAGGCCCCTAATCTGCCATAGGCCCCTATATACCGCCTCCTGCTGCTGCTGCCAGGTCCAGAGTCTCTCATGGGTCCCTGTACGGCCTCCCATTGCTGCTGTCTCCATCGCCACACTCTGCCATGTGCCACTTTCAGGTCTCCTCACACACTGCTGTGTGTGTTTTCAATTTTTTGACATAGGGTGCTGGCAGATTACGGGCCTCCCATAGCTGCTGCCAGGCCCCTAATCTGCCATGGGCCCCTATATACCGCCTCCTCATGCTGCTGCCAGGTCCAGAGTCTCTCATGGGTCCCTGTACGGCCTCCCATTGCTGCTGTCTCCATCGCCACACTCTGCCATGTGCCACTTTCAGGTCTCCTCACACACTGCTGGTGTGTTGAATTTTTTGACATAGGGTGCTGGCAGATTACGGGCCTCCTATAGCTGCTGCCAGGCCCCTAATCTGCCATGGGCCCCTATATACCGCCTCCTCATGCTGCTGCCAGGTCCAGAGTCTCTCATGGGTCCCTGTACGGCCTCCCATTGCTGCTGTCTCCATCGCCACACTCTGCCATGTGCCACTTTCAGGTCTCCTCACACACACTGGTGTGTTGAATTTTTTGACATAGGGTGCTGGCAGATTACGGGCCTCCCATAGCTGCTGCCAGGCCCCTAATCTGCCATAGGCCCCTATATACCGCCTCCTCATGCTGCTGCCAGGTCCAGAGTCTCTCATGGGTCCCTGTACGGCCTCCCATTTGCTGCTGTCTCCATCGCCACACTCTGCCATGTGCCACTTTCAGGTCTCCTCACACTGCTGGTGTGTTTTCAATTTTTTGACATAGGGTGCTGGCAGATTACGGGCCTCCCATAGCTGCTGCCAGGCCCCTAATCTGCCATGGGCCCCTATATACCGCCTCCTCATGCTGCTGCCAGGTCCAGAGTCTCTCATGGGTCCCTGTACGGCCTCCCATTGCTGCTGTCTCATCGCCACACTCTGCCATGTGCCACTTTCAGGTCTCCTCACACACTGCTGGTGTGTTTGAATTTTTTGACATAGGGTGCTGGCAGATTACGGGCCTCCCATATAGCTGCTGCCAGGCCCCTAATCTGCCATAGGCCCCTATATACCGCCTCCTCATGCTGCTGCCAGGTCCAGAGTCTCTCATGGGTCCCTGTACGGCCTCCCATTGCTGCTGTCTCCATCGCCACACTCTGCCATGTGCCACTTTCAGGTCTCCTCACACTGCTGGTGTGTAGAATTTTTTGACATAGGGTGCTGGCAGATTACGGGCCTCCTATAGCTGCTGCCAGGCCCCTATCTGCCATAGGCCCCTATATACCGCCTCCTCATGCTGCTGCCAGGTCCAGAGTCTCTCATGGGTCCCTGTACGGCCTCCCATTGCTGCTGTCTCCATCGCCACACTCTGCCATGTGCCACTTTCAGGTCTCCTCACACACTGCTGGTGTGTAGAATTTTTTGACATAGGGTGCTGGCAGATTACGGGCCTCCCATAGCTGCTGCCAGGCCCCTAATCTGCCATGGGCCCCTATACCGCCTCCTCATGCTGCTGCCAGGTCCAGAGTCTCTCATGGGTCCCTGTACGGCCTCCCATTGCTGCTGTCTCCATCGCCACACTCTGCCATGTGCCACTTTCAGGTCTCCTCACACACTGCTGGTGTGTTAGAATTTTTTGACATAGGGTGCTGGCAGATTACGGGCCTCCTATAGCTGCTGCCAGGCCCCTAATCTGCCATAGGCCCCTATATACCGCCTCTCCTCATGCTGCTGCCAGGTCCAGAGTCTCTCATGGGTCCCTGTACGGCCTCCCATTGCTGCTGTCTCCATCGCCACACTCTGCCATGTGCCACTTTCAGGTCTCCTCACACTGCTGGTGTGTTGAATTTTTTGACATAGGGTGCTGGCAGATTACGGGCCTCCCATATAGCTGCTGCCAGGCCCAATCTGCCAGGCCCCTATATACCGCCTCCTCATGCTGCTGCCAGGTCCAGAGTCTCTCATGGGTCCCTGTACGGCCTCCCATTGCTGCTGTCTCCATCGCCACACTCTGCCATGTGCCACTTTCAGGTCTCCTCACACACTGCTGGTGTGTTGAATTTTTTGACATAGGGTGCTGGCAGATTACGGGCCTCCTATAGCTGCTGCCAGGCCCCTAATCTGCCATAGGCCCCTATATACCGCCTCCTCATGCTGCTGCCAGGTCCAGAGTCTCTCATGGGTCCCTGTACGGCCTCCCATTGCTGCTGTCTCCATCGCCACACTCTGCCATGTGCCACTTTCAGGTCTCCTCTCACACTGCTGGTGTGTTGAATTTTTTGACATAGGGTTGGGTCCCTGTACGGCCTCCCATTGCTGCTGTCTCCATCGCCACACTCTTGCCATGTGCCACTTTCAGGTCTCCTCACACATGCTGGTGTGTTGTTGAATTTTTTGACATAGGGTGCTGGCAGATTTACGGGCCTCCCATTGCTGCTGCCAGGCCCGTAATCTGCCATGGGCCCCTTATACCGACTCCTCTCATGCTGTGACGTTGCAACAACGGTGGAATTCAACCCTACATATGTTAGACCGCCTTTACGAACAGCAAAAGGCCATCACAGATTTCCTGATGTTAAAAGCGGATAAAGGTACTCCCTGTGTAACTTAGATGTCAGCCATTGGCAGCTCATGCGTGACACCTGCGCTTGCTCAGGCCCTTTGAGGAGGCCACGCTATTCGTGAGTCGGCGGAGGACTATGGGGATGAACGACGTCATTCCTCTGTTGCACGTCCTGGAACAAATGCTGTTAACAATGGCTGGTCAGGGTGCGGTAGACGTGGCGCACAGATCTCAACGCCACATGACCCCTGTGGGGCAGGACAGGAAAAAGAGGAGGAGGTAGAGGAGGACATTGGTGCTCAGGAATTATTGAGATGAAATGGGTGGTTTTTCCACTCAGCGGACAGGAGTGGAGGAGCAGGAGCATCTGGTAGACGGGGAGGCAGGAGAAGAGGAGACAGAGGACCCCAGACGCACCGTGGCAGTATGCTGTGGAGATGGAGGCAGGGAGTCCCTCGCATTCCTTGGCACAAATGGCCCATAGCATGCTCGCTTGCTTGCGTAGCGACCAGCCGAAATAATAACCATCAGCAGAGGGATGACTTTTGGCTGTCCCACCTTGTTGGGACCCTCGCTACCGTTCAAAAATGGTGGCCTTTTTCACACTGCTGAGGAGGGAGGCCCAAAATTAACGTATATAAAAA